AAAAAAAAAAAAAAAAAAAAAAAAAAAAAAAAAAAAAAAAAAAAAAAAAAAAAAAAATCCATATATTTGAGAAGAATAATAAATTACTGACAATGGACAAAAAGACGATTAATTTGAAGTGGGAATTATAACACTATATATATATTATTAGTTAGACAAATAATTAGGAAATTGTGGCAAATGACTCTGACCACCACTTGTTGCCCACAGACAATTTATTTTCTTTTTCAAAATATAGACACTAATTGAGGCAATTATAGAAGGGTAGTTTGGGAAAATCTCGCAAAAGGAAGAACACGATTACGAGACGGCACGTGCGAGTACAATCAAGGCTGCATTAGCACGTGGGGTGTTTTTTTTTTTTTTTATAATTTGAACGAGGAATTCTTCTGACCTCTTAAATTATTATGGCCAAAAAATTAAAAATTAAAAATTAAAGAGAGAAAGTGAGTGTAATAAATAAATGAAAGTTAGATTTATTACCAAACGACGCCGTGTGAAAGGTTGTGACGTTGTCAAAGATGCTCTTACCACCAGAAATGACAGTTTTACCCTTGCCATCCCCAACAAACATCAGGTTCCATTTCTTCCTCCCCACCTTCAGATTTTTCTCTTCGTACCTGCCAGAAAGGACGAACAAGGGTATTTCCGTAAATCCACCGTGAGCCAAATTCGTATGGAGCATGCTTTTTCCAAATCACGTGAAAACAGTTCACGATATTGACACGCAAGTGACAAGTCAAACGAAACGCGGTTCGGTTAAAATAAATAAATAAATCAGAACACCGAAATTAATAAATTACCTTCCTGCCATCACGTATATGATCGTCCTTCTGTTACTGTACTGCGGCGCCTTTTTGATCGCTTCCGCGATCGTCTTCACCGTTCCGCTTCCGTTCTGAGAAACCACAATATCGGCCTGTAACGCCCCCACCGGCAACGTCAGTAACCTCCTCTCTCTCCGACTCATCCAGCCGGGGAAGTTACCGGAAGCATCCTCGTTTTCGCCGGCGTTCATCAACCGGCGCTTGTTCTGAATCGGCACTCCGGAGAAATCGCTCGTTACACTGCCGGAAAACAGTGCCAAGCAATTGCTGACGAGTTCGGACAAATTGTGGAGTTTATCGGCCATTTGGTCTTTGACAGAGCCGGAGAGTTGGGAGAATCCGTCCGTACACGTGTCTTGATTGGTAAGGGCAGCGCTGAGCCAGGTGATGACGTCATCGGAGGAGCCAAGGCGTTGAGGACCGCCGTTGGAGGAAGAGGGCGCGACGGACTGCAAGGAGCGGGTAAGGGCGTCGACAGAGTCGTCGAGGAGTTCAAGACAGGCATCGTAGGCGGAGCGTACGCGAAGATCCATTTGCAGAGAGGAGATTCCAGAGGAGAAGTAGAGGGCTTTGTTGAGATGCTGGAGAGTCATGTTAAAGGAAATGTGGACGAGATCCTGTTCATTGGCGTTCAGAGATCCAGGGAAATCGAGGAGCGAGTTGACACAGAGAGTCGGGAAGCGAGTTCGGCTGCAGGCCTTGGAAATGGCCTGAGTCGGTTTTCGAGGGAGATTGGGGTCGGATCGGACGGAGGAGGCGGTTCGGAGGCCGACGAGAAACGTGGCAGAGACAGCGGCAGCGACGATGAGAATGAGAGAGAGGAGGGAGATAAGGAGAAGGCGGCTTCTCCGTGGGTTGGGAGAAGCGGCATGGTGGGAGAGGTGGGAAGGTGCGTCGGAGGAAGTGCCGCCAGGGTCGGTTTCGTTGAGCCTGCCGTATCCCATTGTGGAGAGGAGAGGATAGAGAAGCAGAGAGAGAGGAAAGGGTAAAGGACAGAGGTGGGTTGAGGTTGTTTAGAGTAAATATATATGAAATGGGAGAGATTTTGAAGGGAGAATTAGGTGGCGGCTACTCCACACTGTGCCCCCCCCCCCCCCCCCCCCCCCCCCCCCCCCCCCCCCCCCCCCCCCCCCCCCCCCC